CAACTCACTTTTATTATATAAAATCAATATAAAAAAGTGAATCGCAATACTGCAACTCACTTTTATTATATAAAATCAATATAAAAAAGTGAATCGCAATACTGCAACTCACTTTTATTATATAGTAGAATCAATAGTTTCAGGTCAACAGGTCAATCAGGTTACCTGAATTTGGCTGACCTGTTCGGAGCTCTAGAAACAGCTCGTGAGCCAGCTCGGCTCATGCGGAGCTTTAAACAGACATACGTGTTCAGAAAACAACAATTTTATATTACTAAAGATTGATAATGAAAAAGAGTATGACAAACTTTCGATTAAACATTCTAAATTCTAACACTAAATTCTAAATAAAAATATTTATTAAGTAAAATGACATGCGATAAAGAACAATTAATGACACATAATCAAATAAGTGAGCATTATTTCTATAAAATATATCACTAAATATTAATGTAAGATCAGAATTGTACAAATGCAAGAATTGTGTTGAAAAAATCATAGCTAAATTAGTCTTTAATAGGGAATGTTCCTGCACCTGCATCACTATTAATTTGAGTTAATTGAACAGCTTCACCAGCTAAGCAACCCTCACCAGTGCAACGAATAATGCCACTATCATTGAAAGTAATCAAAGTTGGCGAAACACATGTGGTTCCCTTATTGTGTGAACAAACACCACCTATTGCAAATGCCCATTGTGCGCAACCTGGATCAGCCAAACATGATCTACAACAACCTTCCGGTGTTGTATCATTTGTAAGGACTGCATTACCACCAGGTCTAACCCGATTCTGGAATCCAGTACCACCACGTTCACAGCAGTCTGGGCAAACTGTAACGGTTGGTGTAATAGTTACAGTTTTCGTTGGTTTATGATGGTTACATTCGTGATTATGGTGATGATGATTATAGTGATGGTGATTATCGTGATGATTACAGTGATGGTGATTATCGTGATGATTATAGTGACGTTTGCGAGCGGGGGTGGGGGTGGGTGTGGGTGTTTGTGATTCACTGCATTGGGTAACGGTTGCGGTTTCAGAACTAGTTTCAGTAACAGTGCAACGATTGTTAAAATAATGATGATGATGACGATGACGATGAGCATCGATAGTTTGCGCCAGAATACAAAAGAGCAGAATAATTGAGAACAATTTGCGATTCATGTTTGTATTTAAGGATTCGGTATAGAGGATGATAATAAGGTAAGTTTAGGGATATGGTAATTTAAAGAATGTATGTAGAGGATGTGGAGGATGTGGAGGATGTGGAAAATACACTGGATAAACCTTCATTTTATATAAAAAAAAGGGTTGCCGGAATTAGTGTTATTTCTGGTTGGTCAAGTTTTCATTTGCTTTGTTCGAACCACATGAATAATAAAATAACAATTCATTAATTTGGTCGAACATTCGTACTTAATCACAAAACTATAATTGGATTTCCCGGTACGGAAACCAGTGATGTAAGCCACTAAAATCTATTCTAATTTTACCGATTTTGAGAATTCAAAAAATTGTTGTCGGTATTTGTCGGCTTTTCCGAAAACTGTCGAATTTCTTGCGCGACCAAATATAGACTAAATATAGTCGTTACCAATCAATTTCTTGTGCGTCCAATATAGACTAAATATAATCAATTTCTTGTGCGTCCAAATATAGACTAGACCATTAATAACGCAAAAGTATGGTTCGGAGATTGCTGTTTATTAAGATCTGTAGCAAGATGATTAAATTTAGTGATACAATATATTAAATTTCTTGTTCGAGAGGATATTGTACGACCAGTCTTCTTGATAGAACTATATGATCGTATCATATAAACTTTACAAAAAACCACAGATTTAATATAAGGCTAATAAAAGTATTTTCGTGTGCTAGTAATAGCAATAAATCAGCCCTATCATCAAGCTCGTTAATAGTGCTAGTAAGAAAATTGTAAATAAATATTTTAGGAACGGAATAGTCTAATTTCAGGCTTTTTTGCAATAATAATATTAGGCTAGTATACAACATTTATAATCACAATAAAAGACATTTGTAATAACAATAAAAGACATAAAAAGGTATTTTTTAATAACAATATAACTAATTTAACATTACATTTATTTCAACTAAAATATTTCACCTGTAATTATTATTATATTGCCGAAAATAAAAAATTATTACAGATATATTCAAAATTTGAAGTTTTATGATAATCTACTGATAAATTCGATACCAAGAATCATTAGTATCTTTTTGTAATTGGTATGTTGGACATGAAAGTAATTAATCTCACCTTACCTTGAAACATTTTCAAACAGGCAATATGTAAAAATATAATATTGCCCATTATTTCCATGGAGTTTGAGGATTGCTCTAACACCTGCAAAGCTTTCAACTTTTACTGAAGCAATTCCAACCACATCACCAACGCAAATGTTAATTTTTTTGATAATCACCATTTTCTTCTTGAAAAGTATAAGATGCAAAATTATAAAAATTGACGTGAGTTGATAATAAAGCTTGTTCCATTGAACAATATGAAGAATAAACTTGCATAGCATCACCTGAGAGGTCATTTTTATAGGGATTGGAAGAAATAAATCCAGCAGCTTCAATACGCCATTTGGATTGTAAGTATATATCAGAACACTTAAATTAAACAATATTATCTCTAAATAATTGTGATTTTTTTGCTAAAAATTTATTTACCATTTATTTAAAACTCTGAATCATTATGATGTTGATCATGGAAATATGGATCCAAAGGACTGGGAGATCACGACCCTAATTCTGTACCTTGTTGCATATGAGTAATATTAGAATCAAGTGACTACTATTAAAAATAGTATCAGAAGAAAATAGTTGTTAAATCTCTTTGTATAACATGATTAAATTATTTATGTAGAGATGTGATCTCATCTAATCCAAAGCCAGATAGCGGATGATTTTCTGGATACATCATCCATTATGGATTAATCTGTCAGACAATCCATTATCAATTATCAGTTAAAAAATTCAAATGTGAAGTCACATGATTTTTGGTACTGGCCAGCATTACAAATTTTCCACTGGCACTATGATTAACTTCCGGATATCCCGTAATCAGATCTTCTTGCCAAAATTCTTCACATATTTATTGTAAACTCCTGGCTCCATATATCAATAATAGGATTTGCAATATTCGTTTAAGATGTTCAAAATAAACTTAAATTATTTCTTTGGTAGTAGGAGATTCGTTAATGTTGACTGGTATTTTATGACTTTGTTTCCATTAATAATGGTAATGTTTCATGGTAGTTCTTGAGTTTTATAAATTAAAATATAATTCGTTAACTTTTGAATAAGATTTTCAAAATTACCATTTTTTTGTTCAAACTCATTTTTTGTTTACTCAAAATCATAATCATCTTGATAATTTTTTCATCCCAAAGTATTATTTTCATTTTTTGATCATCTTATTAATTATAATTATTTGATAGTTATCTTTAGATACTTAGCTAGATCATACTTTATTAAAAATAGCCAATTTTTTGAAATATTTTTATAGACCTAGATACAATGGCTTTCAAAACAATTGTGCAATTATTTTGTAAAATTTTTAAAATATATCAAAATATATTTAAGGTATTTTTGAGATTAAAATATTAAAATAATATCAAAGTTAATTATATTATAATAATAAAATAATAACAAAAACATTAAAAAATTATTGTAATATTATTTTGAGTTATTTTTATAGACCTAGATACAATATAATTACAAAATAATAACAAAATTTAATAAAAATATTTTGATATGTTAAATGTATTTTTGTAATATTTTAAAATTATTACAAAATTATTTCAAAAAATTGTCCATTTTTAGTAAAGTAGTGTAGATGCTCTTATTTAAAATTGAGGATATTAATAAGATTTCTGGTTAAAAAAGATGATGTCTATTAGACATATTGACTTTTAGAATTATAAAAAAAAAATTCAAAGAATAAAAAAAGTTTAATTACAAGAAAGAAATGTTTTGTATTGTTAAGCTGATTTAAACTGATTTATACTGATTTAATTTAAGGGATAAATCATCACTCATTAGGATAAAATGATCAGCAATCTATAATTAATTTTACAGGCTTTGTATTAATAAAAAAACCATTTTTTGGAATGTTCTGTTCTTTATATTAAAATTTTTCTAATGAGTAAAAAAAAAACAGTATACAATAACTCTTCTAGCCAAGGGAGATATTATACAAGACTTACATTATGGTATTCATACACGATATTGGTGGAAACCATACAAATTTAACCAAACTAGCGAAACTAGCGTTAAGTCTAATCAAATCTGTATTAAAGCAATACCTTATTGAATGTTTATGTCTATTAATTGCTGTTTAAATGATGAGAACTTGCAATAACAATTCTTGATAATAAACAAACACACAAGCCAAGTTTTCATTGTTTTTATAATGGCAAAGATTCTGGAATTCAACAATCGACTTCTACAGCTATTAACAATACGTATAAACAAGTTTTTAGAAAGAATAAGACAGAGTATTCGGAAATGGTTGTTATAGGATTTGAGGATGAAATAATTACTAATGAATTATTGTCTGATATTTTATTTATTCCAATTTTTATTCGTAATAGATCGAATTTTAATTGTGGTTAGTCAAATTGGTATTTCATCTCATAAAGGTTATTACGGTGCTGGTCTAGAATTTCTTTCTACACTTATAACAAAATATAAGGGCAAACAATCACTTTTTATACAATCTATAGAAGATAATTGTAATTTAGATGTTTATGATGGCGATATTAATCAATACCATAATGAAGGAATTACTCCTGATGAAATTTGGAAGTCTATTAATATTCTTAACAAGTTTGATGGAGCAGCTTTATTTGGAATTACCAATTCATATATTTAACAAGAATTGGACAAGTTAAGAAATAATTCAATCACATGTACGAGCAATGATTGGAATGATATTGATAAGTTAAATCTTATATTTAGACAACAAATAAAAACTCGTAAAATTGCCAGTCCATTTTCAGATTGGTCAAAATTATTTAAGAATTAGTACGAACAAAATAATACAATAATTCAATTTCCTAATATTTTATTTCAAATCTATCCAGCTAATTATCAGTTTCAAGAAAAAGAATTAGGTGCATGGCGAGCAATATTTCGTGCCTCTGGTTGTATTAATATTACTCCATTTACAAAAAAACAACACATAATTGAATTTTGGACAAAAGCACCAGATCTTTTATCTGATAGAGACAATTTAGCAAATCTTTTTAAATCAGGAATGTTATTGTTGGTAGAAAAGAAATCTTCTTTTCAGCTTAATAGTGAAGGTAAAATACTTTAGAAAAGTCTGCAAGAAGCTTTAAAGGCAAATGTAAGAGGAATTGATGGAAAAATAAGAATTCTTTCAATTATTGCTGAAAATTTTACATATAAAAAAACTCAAAGAAAAGCTTAAGGTAAAATCTTTTTACCATCAATTTCCAATTTCTTCTTTGTCACTAACCTTCAATTCTTTTTCATTACAAATCTTCAATTTCTTCTTCGTCACCAACCTTCAATTCTTCTTCGTCACCAATCTCCAATTTCTTCTTCATTACCAATTCTTCTTTGTCACGTCACCAATCTTCAGATTTTCTTTGTCACTAATTTCCAATTTCTTCATCATCATTAATCACTAATTTTTCTTTGTTATCAATCCCAATTCTTCATCATTGATTTTCAAATCTTTATTTTCATCAGGTAGAAAATGATATAGTTAATTCTGCACAAAAACACGTAAGACTACAGTCAAAGTTCGTTATAGTGAATCCTGTTTAAGGTTGCTTGCTGAACCTAGGAGTTTAGGCAAGATGGCGTTTCGCCAAAAAGCGAAATTCTGCTGAAACTATATTAAAGTTATATTAAAAAACTGGTGAAACTTTAGAGAAAGGCGAAACTGCCAAAACTTATTATAAATGCTGAAACTGCCGAAACTCTGCCGAAACTATAATAAATCTATAGTAAAATTTTGATGAAACTAATCGTAAGATTTTGAAAAGGTTTAGACAAGCAACCTTAATTCCATTATAGTAAATTTGGCTTTTAGTGAACTTTTTTTATTTCCCCAGTTCATTCTATATAAAATTATATCTGTTATAGTGAATTTCTTAATTAAATCTCGATATTAGATATAGTAAATTTAATAAAAATTTAAATATAGAACATATATTATAAATTTATACTCGTTATAGTGAATATCACGTGATATTAATATTTGTTCTGTAATACAATATCATTTTTAGTTAATTTAAACGCCCATCTATTGTAACCATTAACACTTTTTTTTCTTTGTTCTCAAGATGCCACCCGATAGAAAAGGGAAAAGAAAAGTAGCGGAAGGAACCAGTAAAAGGAAAAGTTTATCTTTTGCAGAAAAAAAAGAATTATGCGAGTGGAAAAGAGATAATCCATCATATAATCAGGAAAATCTTGCTAAAAAGTTTGGTATATCAAAGCCACAAGTTTGTAAAATATTAAAAGAAAAAGATAAATGAATATCCATCGATATTTCAAATAAGGAATTTAAAGATCAAAAATGGGATAGAGGTGCCAAGTATCCAGAAATTGAATCTGCATTGTATTTGTGAATGCAGCAAACATTAGCATCAAATCTAACTATTACAGGAGATATATTAAAATCTAAAGCTTTGAATTTTGCAACTAGGCTACAAATAACATCTTTTACCGCTTCAGATGGATGGTTAACAAAATTTAAAAAATGATATAATGTAAGGCAAATTAATAGAGCTGGTGAAGCGAATAGTGCACCTTTAGAAATACTGGAAGAAGAGCGCAAAATTTTGCAAGAAATTATTAAACAATATGATCCTTGTAATGTTTATAATGTTGATGAAACAGGTAAAAACAGGTTAAATTTAGTGCAAATTTATAATTTTATTAACTAATTTTATGTACATACATCAGCTTTATTTTGGAATTTAGAACCATCAAAAACGCTTTCAGATCATTATATTTCTGGTACTAAAAAATCAAAGAATCGTATTACAGTTGTTTTAACTTGTAATGCCGATGGTAGCCATAAATTACCTGCATTAGTAATACATAAGTGGCAAACTTCACGTGTTTTAAAAGGAATTAAAAAAGATGATCTTCCTGTTTGGTACTATTGGAATCGTACTGCATGGATGCAAGTATCAGTGTGACGTGATTATTTAAATAAACTTAACCAATTAATGAAACGGCAAAATTGTAAAATATTATTATTGGCAGATAATGCGCCTACACATTTATTAGACGAAACTATTCAATTATCAAATATTAAAGTATATTTTCTTCCTCCTAATACAACTGCTCATTTACAACCATTAGATGCCGGTATTATCAATAGCTTTAAGGTAAACCCAATTATTGAATTTTTTCTATTAATATTTCGTTACTTATAATTTAAATTTCCTTTAATATTTATTCATATATTTATAATTTTAGGCTCAATATAGAAAATTATTAGTTGCAAATAGAGTAGAAACGTACGATTTAGCTCAAAAAAGCGGTTCTAATATAACACCAGTTGATATTCTTGATGCTATAACATTTGTTAGTGAAGCATGGAACATTGTAAAATCAAGTACAATTGAACACTGTTGGAAAAAACAGGTATTTTACCTGATTTTGAAGGAAATAATCCTGAAGAAAATAATTCCGATTGGAATTAAAATATTAATGATGATATTAACAGAATTACTTTAGAATTACAAGAAATGATTGATGAATTAAATTTACAAGATTCTATTACAGCTGAAAGATTTATTCATATTGATGATAAAATACTAATAGAACTATTATCCGATGAAGAAATTATTGCTGCAATAATTTCAAGACCTGAAAATGATGACATAGAAGAGGACGATGAATCAGAAACAAATATTAGTATTTCTAATAAAGAAGCTTTGAGTAGTTTAGAGAAAGTGGTTCAGTATTTTAAAAATCCACCTGATAATATTTTGGTTGATTATACAGAGTTAAAAACTCTTAATGCTTTAAAATCAAAAATTAACAAGCAAATTCAAGATAATGCAAAACAAACCACATTAGATAGTTTTATGCAACATTAAATATTCAAGAAAATAATAAAGTTTAAAAAATTCGTGTTATAAGAAACTTTTTTTTTTATTCATATAAAATTCACTATAAAGAAATCTCCCGTTTTTGTGAATATTCGTTATAGTAAACAAAATTGGATGGAACCGAAAGTTCACTATAACGAGCTTTAACTGTATATGGTCCAGGAGTACCAACCTTAGTAAAAACAAAAAGAACTGTTAAACGTATGTCAGAAGTTAAAGAAAAACAATTTTTAATGTTTTTTAAGATTGAAGTATAGTTACACAAAGTTCTTACCGGGTTGATAAAAATGGATTACCAATATTATATATGTGTAATCAAAAAATTAAATTGTGAAAAAAATTCAAAGAAACTTTTCCTAATGGAATGAAAAAAACATCATTTATGGGTCGATTAGCAAACTGCAGTAATATTAAATATTGAGATGATATAGGTGGACTTTATCTTACCTGTAATGATTATGGCTATATTCCATTTGAATCCTTAATAGTTATTGCACGCAATATATTTTTACAAAAAGATCAACTAGTAAGTAAAAAAATATTCTTTGATAAATATATTATTGTAATAAAATACATAATAATCATAATTTACCTATTTATCACATCATTAGAATAGTGTATTACAAAAAATTGATGCTTTGAAACATCATCTGCATCGTGGTTATAAAAGAGAATTAGTAGTTAATGCTGATGGTACAACAAAACATAATTCTTGTATTTCTTATTATTTGCCATATGCTTTTGGAAATTGTCTTGAAAATCATAACTCACAATGCTCAGAATGTGACCAATTTTTTGAATTTTTTGAATTCATACATCTACATATAAAAGAAGATCAAATAGCTACTTTAGAAGAAACTAAAAAACACTTACAGTATTATTTGGCCCATTCAACACGAAAGATATATTTAAATTCTCAATTTAAAGCTACTTTGGCAAATCTTGATGAGAATGGTGCATTATTTGTTGCCGATTACAAGATGAGAATTTTGCCAAGATCTGCTTGAGAAACAAAGACAGAGTTTTTTGGTAAAAGAGGATGGGCCCTTCATACGATCTTAATGTTTAGAAAAAAAGAAAATTGTGAAGAATTAGAGATAAGAGTTTATGATCACTGGTCAACTGATACTAAGCAAGATGCTTGGTTTACCGCCTCTTCATTTGAAGCTGTTTTTGAAACAATAAAACATAAACCAAAATGGATCAGAATAATGTCAGACAATGGAGCACATTATCATTCATCAGAACTTATAGTTATAATTGCACATTGGAATAAATGGTACCAAATTGAAGTTCGTGATTGGCAGTTTCTTGAACCAGGCGAAGCTAAAACAATTATTGATTCCCATCATGCTGCAGTAAGTATTCTATTGCTTATTGCTGTGTAATAAATTACACATTAAAATCATATTTATCTTTAGATTGCTCATTCAATTAGAAGATATGTTCGAATTGGATATGATGTTTGTGAAGGAAAAGATATAACGGAGGCGGCTAAACATTTATCTGGTACATTATTGGCAAATTTAGAACCAGATCGAGATCAATTGGGATCAAATATCAAAACGATAAAGGGCATTTCAAACTTATATATATATATATATATATATATATATATATAGATCGCGATCTTGAACGAGAATTAGAAGAGTCACGTGATTGGCGTGAGTCCTGACGACCACGCTTAGGGCCAGCATTGAAGCGTGAATAAAGTTTATTAAGGCGATCATCCACTTTACGTGTAGGACGAAGGCTGCATACAGAAGGGGAGCAACCTTGACGTCCGCATACATGACACAAGGTATGTGCTTCGTTGGGAGGGTGCCATGTCAAACCTTTGCCTCAGAAAGCCACGGATAATTCTTTAGCAGCCTCAAGGGTATCAAACGAGGAGAAATTTAAATAAACATAAGGTTTGGGCTTGTAAGAATTGACAGAAAGAGGTACGTTAAGAGCTTTCGCGTTCACTTGGTAGCGATTTCGAGAAGGTCAGCTTCTTTGATATTTTTTGGAATACCGGCGAGGATAGCAACATGTTCTCTGTGGCTATCACGTTGGGATTTTGAAAAAGATGCCGGGCAGATATGTAAAGAATTGCCTAGGCAGATAATCGCCCAGATATTATTAAATTGGGCAATTGCATCAGCAGAGGAAAATTGGATATGGCCGTTGTAATAATGTTTTTTAGGAGTGAGTTTGCACTTAATCACAGTGCCATATCGGGAAAACGCCTGGCGGACTTGCGTCTCATTTAGGAAAAGTGGGATGTCGGTGACAAACAAAGACTTCGCTTCGTCATTGAGTTTGGCATCTGCAGGGGAATAATGAGTAAAGACTAAATTAAGAAGATCTGCACGTGGAGAGCTGACACAATCGGTATAATCATGCTGATCATTAAAGAAGACAAGGATCTTTTTATTATCACCTGATCCTTCACAGCGTGCGCGGGCACCATAAGAGGGATATCGGAAGAGTGAACAATCCACTTCGTCACACATGGAGCGATTGGCGGTAAATTTAGTTTTGAACGCGTTAGGCGCGTCACGTAGATAAGCCGCAGCATGATAACGAGTGGGTGCGGATTTGATAGCAGCAGCATTACCATCGGGGGATGGTCGACGTTCAGGTATATCGAAGGCAACAGTTTTGCCTTTACCATCAGCGTTAGAGGGAGCATAGATAGAAGCGTCAACAGTTTCAACAGGAGTAGTAATAGTATGAGGAGAGGTGATCACTTGGACTTTGTTGACAGGAAGACCAGAAGGAACGGTAGAAATAAGGTTGGGAGCAGGAGCAGAGGGCGAAGTTATATCAACATTCATCGCGTCATCAGAGACAGTACGTGTACGTTTATTAGGTGCGCCAGCGGTACTAGTGGGAGATAAAGGTCAATCTCCAGAGGGAGTAGAAAAAACAGGACGAGGTGAAGGAGGAATATCTGGGTTAATAACAGAAGGAGCTGGAGGTGTAGTCATAGTATAAAGCTCAGAAAGAGGAAAGCAACTGTGTGGAAATATTAGTATTTATGAACGAGCACTTAGAAATTTTCGAACGAAAATTTCAAAAATAAATTTTATTAGTATTTTCAAATTCAGGAAAGAGTTGCGATGATCCTCATATTTGGTGATTATGAGCAAACAGTCTTATGACTTTATCTTTTATTATTAAATTTAAACGAAAAGTACAATAAACAGATCGAACAATATTACAAATATCAAATATAGAAAATAAACATAAAAAATAAAAAGAACAAGCTTCACGATTCATACAAGTAAAGAAATCTAAACAAAATAAATTTAAGTAAAGAAAAACTAAACTATTACAGAAACGCATGCCCCATCTTTACCCGAAGGCCAGTGTGAGTCAACTATCCAGCATGTCCTAAGATCCAATCCGTTACCAAAAAGAAATCCTAAGTAGAGGCTGAACTGTTAAGCGGCGC